ACATATAAGCTTGGCCTATTTGATATAGGCTTATTTTATAATAATTTCCATTCGTGCAATTCCTTGAATAATTTTTAAGATTTGTATTAAACGCAGTGAGGACAATCACTAGTATTAAATTATACCTTCTGAACCGATTTGTCAAAATTTTGTTATCATTATTAGTTCTGAGTTAAAAGGTATGTTGATCTGGGTCACTCGATATACATAAAATATGCAAGCGTATCGACCTGACAGACAGACTTGTCATGTGTTAGATTACACCTAACCGTCACGTTATGTTCTATAGACTATATGTATATAAAATATACACAAGAGCTTTGATTGAGCTTTGACACGAAAGCTTTTTCATGTATTTATTTTGAACACAAATTTAAAAATAATGTCGTATGTGTTTGAATAGCACTGTTTATTGTCATTTGTGCACTATTTAAAAAAAATATGCATTATTTTGAAACATTATTGTTTGGCTTTACCGTTAGTTCTATGACACTCTGAATATTATATTATTCCTTAGTGTGAGTTCGTCGTGGTATTGAGATTCTTAAAACTAAGGTGTTTTTTTAATTCAGCAACTCTACGTATAAATGTTGGTTTTAGTTGACGCAGAAACGGAGCAACCATACATCAATCAATACCTTCCTGGGCGAAGGTGGTTAAATCTCAAGGTAGCAGCGAGATAGCTTGGATCACTGCTAGCGACATCCATCTACTCGTTGCGGAACCAGTAGGCGAGCTACGAAACCGTTACAGACTACACATTCATATGATGCCTTCGAAATCCGCAAGCACGGTTAGTAACTTTGGCGCTTTTAAGTTGGAACTTTAAAATCTATATAATAAAAATGAAACGCTGTTGGTTGGTACACTTGAAAATGGCTTGACCGATTTGGCTGATATCGTTTTAAAATTTTCGTAATAGTTTGAATAAGGCTTTAAGGGACAAATATATGGAGAAGTTTCCCGAAGAATTGATAAATTCGGCATTTCAGTGTTTTAATATATACAATTATAGTATGACAAATTAGAACAGGCCATTATCTATCAGGTCAGCTAGTAATCTATATAAATATAGATATACAGAGAGAATAAATATACAAAGCATGTGTTGACTGTAAAGAGCTCGATTATATTCCGTATTCTGTGGGCTCGATCGATTAATTATTAATTGAAAAGGAAACAAGAATATCGAAAATGAGTGCAATTAAGTATTATCAGAATTGTTGAGTTCCCTTATGTGAAAATAATACCAAAAAGAACTAAACCTGAGAAATTGTTTATACCTGTGCCTTATGATAAAAATATGCGAAAAAAGTGGAAGAATCTGGCAAGACGAGAGACGCGACACTGGTCACTTCTGTAGGTATTACCAGCAAGGTCAGTAAATGTAATGATTACTTTACTTAAACGATTAAAACTTTGAGATTACACAGAATTGAGTTTTCGAAACTACGAGTACACTGTATACACAACAAACTAGCACAGATCATATTATACTATAAAAGACACTAGTGACAATAGTAATTGGCGTTTGTAGTCACGTGATTTTGATGTTAAAAATAATAACTAATCATGTTAAAAATAAAGAAGAATCATGATTTTTATTTAATTATTCCTTTAAGTAATGAATTCTAGCCCCATAAACTAGCGCTATACAAAACATCACATCATTTTATTACTACAGTCCAAGACCCTATTCAAAGAAATCGTGTCGGGAAGCAAAAGATTTTATCTCGGGAGATAAAGATAGCACCTAGAAACATGTCGCGTATTTTAAAAGAGGACTTAGGACTTGCAGCCTATAAGAGACGCACTGGTAATGACCAGTTAAGTCAGTCTTAACAATTTAAAAAAGAATAGGGTGGTAAAATTCAAACAACTACTTAAGCCGCCGGCGCTAAGCACTCGGCGCCGGGTCATAAAGCGCGATCCAAGCAATCTTGGTTAGAAACCCACATTCCGGACTTAATCAGAGCTGAAGTCTGGCCGTCATCTAGTCCCGATATTAATCCACTGGTCAGTTTTAGAGAGTATGGCTTGCTCTAAATGCCATGATTATTTGTAGTCTCTAAAACGTTTTACGTGTTACAAAGAAAAAATGTTTTTTTCTTTGTAACAATATTTATGGCAAGACTAAGTACATCCAAACATCCATACATCCTCACAAACTTTCACATTAATATTATTAAGTTTATTTAGTAAAGTTCATCGATCTCAATATTCATAGATTTTGTATCCAATTTCATCTCAGTTGGACTCCCGTTGAGGTATCAGTATCGTTTTTAGTTATACATATATATTCTACCGAAACTAATAGAAATAAATATATTCTGTATATTTATTTCTAAAACGTAAGGCGCAGTAATTTTAGTGAAAAATTTTAACTTGTATTATACAGACGGAAAGGTATACTAAATTTTTTGTTCAGTAAAAATGTACGGAATCCTAAATACAACAGATATTTCAACAAATGTAAACGGTTTTACGCCATTTCAACCTTCAACGACAGCTACTTAACTATTAATTATATTTTATCAAATCAATCCATCTATATTAGACTTATATTTTATTGAAATAGACTTTTACGAGCGCTTGAATCGTATATTTTTGCACTGATTTTCCTAAGTTGACGAAAAATGTAGATTTTACTGATAAAGTACTCCCGATCGATTTTGGCCACGGCGGCCAGTCTCACTGAGTCAGACCAACTGCACAGGAGATATTGCATACAGTGTACCAGTGCTCGTACATACACAATGTGCACTATCTATTCCTATCGGGGAGTGATCAGGAGCAAGGCCGAAGGTTTCAAGTGTTTTCCAAGATATGGGGATGAAACTGAGCCATTTTCTAAGCTAAATGACTCAACAAATAAACTTGGCACGACCTGGGGCTCGAATCCGGGACCTCGGGATGTGCAGCTATACATGCTAGCCACTAGGCCGCTGCGGCAGTTCAATTTACTATAATACTCATACAATAATACTAGGTTAAAATATGTATAATCTGTTGTAAGTTGTTTGTAACTCGTCTAATCAATCGCGTATACGAACCCTGACAGAATTGCGTAAAAGAGGTTCCGTATTCGATGCCTGGTCACGTATATTACGTAACTCCTATAGACCCGATGTTATGTGATTATGATATGTCATTGGATTACTTCGAGTTGAACGTGACGGCGTAAATGTAGTGCTTTGTTTATTATTGCTTATTTTTGAGCCGGCTTTATATTGTTCGAGGAAGTTTCTTATGAAGAGAAAAATTGGTAAATTTCACGGAAAAATGAAAAATCCCATTTTTCCTTATCTTTACTTTTTAATTATGAACGCAACCTTAAAATTAATGATGTTCTTCTGACCGATTCGACCGGTGATGAAGACTTAATATACAGAAAGGCTCAATAACTAAACTTGGCCCAACCCGGGTCTCGAACCCAGGACCTCCGAGTGTGCAGCCGTACATGCTAGCCCCTACACCACCGAGGCAGTTAAAATTAATATAAACTACTTGAAAGCATTCGTAGATTTGACACTTATTCTTTATTTTTCTTTAGTGGCTTAGAGTTGCGTTAACAGACGCAATACATTCTGCCAGTGTCACGTGTTGTGAGGAAGACATAAATGACTTTGAGTGAAAATTTTGAAATTTTGCAGCTTTAACGTAGAATTAAAACTGTAAATGAATGATCAGTCTATAGGAGCACTTTCTCTTTTTACGATTTAGAGTTTGACTTTGACAGTTTATTAGTTATTAGTTTTATCCCGGAAAATATTCCTTAAAAATTTAAAAATGGCTGATAGGATCATAACAGCTAAAATTAAATAATAATATTCCAAATTATAAAAATGTTTAAAATTAAAATTAACAAATATAGGTACTTTGGGTAGGTATAAGCTTTTAATTTTTTTGTTGTTGGTATTTTTTAATTTTTTGAATTTATTGAATTCGTTTTGTTATTTTGTGGGTAGGATGGATGTAACAATTATATAATGCCTTTGAGATATCTAAAACCTTAGTCTCTCCCGTTACCATGATTGCTGTAAAGCATTAAGCATTAGAAACGATAGTTTTATTTGAAATCTGAAATGATAGTTTTATATAAAATGTGAAATATTCGCGTAAATTTAAGAAAATATTATGAATTTTATATACATGTTAATTATTTTGCTGTTTTAATATAAAATTACTTGCAATTGCAAACTTGTGTATTGTTGGATTCCCTCTCTATCTGAAGATAAGCAAAGGATATTGTAAATAAAAATATAATATTTAAATTGTATATTTTATTTCAAAAGGTCCATTATCGATAGTGTTTAGTCGACTGCGGGCGAAATAAACTCTTTTAATCCAACCTATACTATAGAAATACCTATGTACAAAAGTATAAAAAAACAGGTACGTACATTTGAAGCCTTGCCTCCACGCGTATACAGAGGAGATCAAGAGCGAATACAATATAGCTAATAGCAAGTATACATCAAAATATTACTTTGAACCAGCTAAGCATGAGACATTAAAAATATTACAATCCAGCCTTTTTCCTGAAAACCTCCTTTTAAAACATTCCAAACATCTATCGCATAATCAATTTACATAAAATATTAAAATTTATCTTTTTCATTTACATTTTAGTATAAAAAAATATAAAATTTATTATAATTAGTAGTTTCTATTTGGCAATTGCACTCCCCATTGCGATTCAGCCCGAAGACACTCATACATTAAAGCTAGACTATTCTAAATCACATGATACCAACCGTGACTATATCGTAAAGCCTTATATAAAATGCCATAATATCTCCGACACTCGGTTGCCAGAAACTCTTTCTCTTAAGATATCTTTGGGGAAATGTCTTAAGACCTTCCTCTGTTATATCTCTTGCAACTCAAAACGATGTTCTATCTTCACCACATTTTATTTGCAAGGGTTATCATTGTAATAGTAAATATTCATTCCATTATTGTCTCCAAAAACCGAGTGTCCTAATAACATATGTTTACCAAATTTTGGAGTGGAGATGCCCATGGTAACCGTCGTGGATTCCACCTCCATAATATCCTGAGCTGATTCCAGCGCCAATTCCAGCGCCGTATCCAGAGCCATAGCCGGAGCCGATTGAGTTACCAATTATAGTTTTGACGACTGGTACTGCGACAGGCTGAGCCACTGGCACTGCCACTGGCCTGGGCACATGCACGGGGTAGGGCTGGGGCACGGGGACACCGACCTTGAAATGTGTAGATGTGTGTTAAAATATTTGTTTTATGAATTTAAAAGAAATGCGCCGAGAACATAGAATATTAATAATATGCTTTTTTTAATTAATTTTATAGGGTTTACTAGGCTCTAACTGATTTTAAGATGGGCTTTAGGGCTTTTGATGAAATGTGATCTATTAAATAACAATAGGACATAAGAATATATATTTTTTTAGATATACGCGAATGTTTGAATTTTTTTATAAAAACTATTATATCGGAATTTTTTTCGATTTTTTTTTGTTCTCGACATTTCTAATGCTTTAAACAATTAATTACAAATTTCGCCACAAGAAGACTCAGAGTTGTAAAACACTCAAAACGTTGGGAACAAAAAAGGAAAAAATAAAACTGAATAAAAATTTTACTTATTTTCTTAGTGTTTTGAATATATTGCAGTTTTTGTAGATTGTATGAATATTTGAGATAATTCACCTGTTTAACGATCGGTACTGGCACGGCATGAGGGACGGCTACGGGTACGGGTCTGTCGACTGGCACAGCCACTGGCCTCTCCACTGTCACGGGGTAGGGCCTCGGGACTGCAACGGCGTAGGGGCGGTCTACTGGTACGGGAACGGCTACCTGAAATTTTATGGAAATAGGAAATTCTTATTTTAATGTCAAATCTCAATTTAATTCAATTTTCTTGTTAATGGCTTTAAAGTATGCCATTTGAGCACAGATTATTTAGCCAATGTCACGTAGAATGGAGAAGACACGAAGAAAATTAGTCGGTAAAAGTCAAATCTCTTGCATCGTGTTTGGGTTATTGACACAACCAAACAAATGATATACTTTTTATGAGCTGTCAAAATATGAATCCTCCATACACTTTGCATCGTAATAGCAACATATGACGTCACTTATTTGCTAACTAAATAAATAAAATAAAACTTAATAATAAAAATAAATGCCGACTTATGTAAGTTGTTACAGTTCATTGAAAATTAATCCAGTTTGCAGGGATAAAATAAAGTGGATTTTTATAGAAGCTGTGTCTAATGATGTCAATTACCCAATGTCTGGACATTTTCTTATTTGTCTGCCCTTGCGTGATATATGTAAGTATAAATTGAGAGCGTTATATGTATATATTAAATCGTAAATATATTTTCAGTTTTCTTATTTTTCTAAATTACTGATTATAATACAAGTAATTGTAAAGTACAAAAATGACTAACCTTAACAGGTACAGGGTAGGGCCTATCCACAGCAACTGGATATGGCGCAGGTACAGGGACTCCTATATGCTTCGTCACAGTTGTATGTACGTCTGCGCCAACAATAGTTCCTGAAGACAAAGCCAGACCTCCAAAGCCAGCGCCAGACCCAATACCATATCCAGACGCCAGTGCCCCACTGTAACCGTAGCCACCGCCGAGACCGCCGCCGTATCCATGGGAAATTATAGACCCGCCGTAATGACCCACCAGGCCGCTACGCTTTTGGACGACTTTGCTCGGTTCAGCGAGAACCGTAGCAGTCAAAAAGAGGATTGCGATCTGAAATAAAAAGTACACACAAGTTAATAACTATGTCACAAGCATTATGTTAAATTATAATTTAAATAACTTTTAATTTAATATACATAAAGAATCAATATTTTGAAGATTGTAGGTAAATATATACGGTATATGCTATATATGTACTATGTACTATTAAATTAGGTGATGCCTCGTCATATGAATATGTCTAAATCAAAACAAATATAATTCAGAAACATCATTTATTCTTCTAGATCTAAAAGAACTATGTATGTATGTATGTACGTAGATGGTTATCGATCGTTTTTATTTTCTTATTTTCTCAATGACTTCTGTCTGAAGTCGTAGCATATTAGAGGTATCTACATCAGGTAGAAATATATCTACTGCAAATTTTCAATTTCGAAACTTTAAATTTTGGTGTGAAAAGAATAAGCTCATCCATTTATCAGATTCAAATTAGGTATTTAATAGCCGAAACATAATCAAATTTTGCCGAAATATCGATGTTATCCAATGAATTAATTATGATCGAACAATCGCAGTCACTTTTCCCCGTTACGTGTCGCCTCGCGTCACGTCACGCGTCGGTACATCACTCATGCGCTGGGCGTGCTATTAACGAAATTTCAAGCGTGCTTAGCATTCTAGTGAAGGCATGGTGCGAGTTATGGAGGTTTATAAATATTTCATAATACTTTGTTATTATTTTTGCTTTCGTTTGATATGAATTATTGATTAATTTCCGTTCTTCCGCTGGACTTATATAGTCACATTGTCAATGTGGGTAATACTATATAATAATAATCATTTACATACAGCCTAATTGATTTAACTTGGATATATATACATACTTAATACACATATCATTTATATTACATTAACTAACGTTGCGGTTTAACGGTTAGTATAGATTTCCGAGAGTAGAAAATAATTTAAGTACTAAATATCGCTATTAAAAAATAGGAATTGGTGGTAGAAGGGTGAAAATTTAGGTTTGTATTTATTTTTAATGCCGAATCATAAAAAATTAAAAATAAAATTTTTTGTTCAAAAAATAAAAAAAAACAATTTTAGGGTAATACCCATAACACTTAGGGGTATGAAAAATAGTTTACGTCTATCTAAATATACACACAAAATTTCATAAGAATCTGTCAAGCCGTTTCGGAGGAGTTTTGTTACAAACACTGTAACAGGAGAATTTTATATATTAGATTTTAAATATTTAAAAGTTTTTCAATTTGTCATAGACATGTTTTAATATCGTGATAAGGTTTTGATTTACTGCGGAGTAACAGTGTTTGATATTTAGGTATGACACATTTCCTTTATTAAAATTTCTGGTCAGATTACGACAAATTATTGTTATAGCTTCTATACAAATTGACAGTAATATTGTTAGTCACGTTAAAACACATTTTGTCGGCTAAGACATCAAATATTAATAAAATATATTAATTTACGAATTTTTTGAGAGTTCTGGAGAAGAATTTACCTACTTTTTACTTATATGTAATTTCTGAAATTCCACCCTTACTTGGTATCGGTATATTTGTGAAAACAAAACTGCGAGTGAGCCACCGAAACCATAATACTTACTAATATATACATACTCGTATAGTAAAATTCTAACTGAGTCGAATCTGTACATTAAATATTTTTTGGAAAATCTTATTGAAATAGTCATTGTTATTGATACAGAGAACGAATCTATATTTTTTAGAATTTTTCTACTGTCTGTCTGTCTGCCTGTCTAAGAACGCATCATCAGAAACCCACCTGACAGATTTTGATAAAATTTGGTATGATAATAGCAGGTTATCCGGGTCAACATATAGGATACATTTTACTGCGGGAAAATAATTCATCTCTGAGAAATCTATACTAAACGTTAAAACTTAAGGGACGAACCCGAGCGGAGCGAGGGCGTGTCGCTAATGCTTACTGTATTGGTAAAACTTATTCGTCCAGTAACGAAAGTAGCATTTTGTAGTATTTTGTACTAGTCTGCCTGTTTACGAAAACGGTTAAAAATTTGGTTTTTTATGTAAGCATAGTGATTACATTAAATATCTTGGTTTTATTTCCCATCTGAATAAATATGGATATATATTTTTTAAATAGTAAAAAATTCTAAACTATGGGAAATTCTTACCAATATATTTTTACGTACTATAAATAATTGTACCAAGTTCGTGAATCTTAAGTCTAAATAGTTCCAATTGTAAACATAACTTCTTATGTTTTTATTGATAGTTTATCACAAACTAATATATCAATAAATTTCAACGATTTTAAGATCACTTCATAAATGCTTTCCACCGTTGTTAGGAGTGGAATTTTGCATGAAATTTAAACAAACATTTTTGATCAGAACTGAAATTAGCAATTTTTTAATAAAAATAACAAAAATAAAAATAAATTTTTAGACAGTGTAATAAAAATATCATAAAATATTTTCTCAGACCATTATTTAGTGTAAATAATTGAACTTTCAAAAAAAAAAACACAGCCTTAATAATTAATAAATTCCAAAATATAAATGTTTGTGTAAACAAAAACTTACAAAAGCCTTCATGTCCACAACACTGCACTGTGCTACTTCTCACACTATGCACTGAGCGTCCCGCCCGGGACTTATATACTACTAAGAAAGAGACCCCACTCGAAGCACCATTGCGATAGCAATGACGCTATCGATGTTTTTCGATTTTGAATTAATATTTGTTTCAAAAATACATTTTGTAAAGGAATTGGAGATTTTAATGAAGTCCTTATACTTAATATATGAAGTTACATTTTCTATGAAAATGCTTAGCTAATTGGTTGTTCCCATAATTGATTTGGCGAAGTTAGCTTGACTTTTGAGACTTTGTACAATTTTTATGTTTATTATTTTTATTATTCATTCTAAATATGACTAAAATACTACTCTTCAAAGGTAAATAAATATTTTATAACAGTGTCAAAGTACAATGAATTTTATTAAAGTAATTATTTGTCATCAACGTCTTTTATATTTTTTCCATCAATCCGTCTGTATCATGTACCATATTATGTCACTCAAAAGCAACTAGAGTAATTGTACTGAACGTATTTCAATACACAGGCGATTGTCTAAATTAAAAGCATGCTTTTTAATTAATTTGATTGAGTAGATGTAAATATGTAGCTTGATTCTCTTAGATAAAGTAAGTTCCACGTTTCGTGGTTATATTGGTAATCCTTACAAATACTATAGTGCATGTTTGGTAAACAAATAAACACAATTACTATTTTTACGAATGTGAATGAAGTAAAAAGGTAGTTGATGAGAGAGTGACAAAGGGTATTTTTATCGATTATATTTGATTCACAAAACGAAGACATAAAGTCGTATAAAAATCAATACGAATAGTACTGGTAAGTAGTGTTGGATATTATTTGATATACAAGTATTATTTAATATACACAACATTTTATTAAATATATCAAAATATGATTAACTAATAAAGTAATTTAAAAAAAAGTCCCGTGGCATTCTGTTGTAGTGTTCCAATAATTTACAATTAAGCACTAAAATAAATAGCACGAGTGTAAATCATTAATTATTATCATAAAAGTGACTGGTAAATTATAATACGAAATAATTTATTTACAGCAAGAAGGAGGTTCTATGGTAAATATCCCTAATACTTTCAGGTATCTATGAAAAAAGTTGTTTTTTTTTTTATGTAAGACATTTTTTTATGTATCTAAGGCAAAGAGATTGGAAGGCTCAAGAACCTCTTTATAAATATATAAAATGAGAAATTTTTGATCGCCTTAAACTAGAAGTTATTTTGACACGTTTTGTCTTTGGCGACAAATTTCTCAAATGAACAGATTGGTTTCAATGCCAATTCCTGTATTTTAAAACAAAATGTAAATACAGCTACTCACAGATAAGGCGCTTTTCCCAGAAATAGCATCGGCACTTCTTTCTATAAGAGGCTATTAGACACATAATATGTTTATTGTAGTTCCTAATTATGTTTTTAGACTAATTTTGATATTTAATTTTTTTGGAATTTGTATGAAAACTTGAAAAAATACCTTTAATAATAATCCTAAAGTGAAGGTAATTTTATTAATGTTCATTCATTTTCTCAATGATCTTTACATTTTTAGTTATTTTCATTTTGTGACATCGTAGGTATTTTTTTTCCGATATATTCGAGTAAGATATAGATAAATTGGTGTGGTTTTATGGCTACTCGTGTTGCTTTGATGTAAATGATTATTTTAAATGTTTCTGCATATTATTCACTGGTACTTCCAATATTAACATAGAGTGCCTGGGTTACCAAGCTTCGCTCGGAGCTTTAGGCCTACAGTACAATTTTCTTTTTTTCAAATAAACTAAAAATTTGGATAAATATAAAAAAAAAACAAAAGTAAAAATTTTGTATGCGACCGAGATTCGAACCTGGACCTGTGGTTGATGATGTTGATCTTGCATCTTGGCCGCTTGACCACGATGCTTATGCCCGATCGTGCAAATTACCGACCATATTTTGCGTGAAATAATGCAAAAAAAAACTGCATGAAAACTCGAAAACATACGTTTTCTCAGACATAAAACTAATCTAGATCGATTTATCGCCTCCGAAACCCCTCGTATGCTAAATTTCATGAAAATCGTTAGAGCCGTTTCCGAGATTCTGATTATATATATACAAGAATTGTTCGTTTAAAGATATAAAACGTTAGGAATGGGTCAAAACCCTCATTAGGTTATAATGTAATAATTATCCTAAAAATCTTATTCAACTAAGAACGATGCATAAATTAATGTTCATATTAGTCCTTCGACATCATCATACCTTTTATAAGACCATGTAATATCCGTTCGCAATCCGGCCTTTCCAGTTTTTATAAACTGCTTAACAATTTTAGAAATGTCCCTAGAAATAATTTCATTACTTGAGGATCATGTAATACGTTATAAAGACATATCCTTTGTATTTTCAGGATCTCCTGAAATTTTATGTTTATTTTTACGTTTTTATATGAAGTTTAATTTTTTTGTAGTTTGTCATTGAAATAATTATTAATGATATAGGTAAATTAATATGGAGAAATTTACTATACGTATATATATGTAGATATGCATTCGCAATTCACATTTGTTATGGTAGTCCAAAAATATTTACCTAATTTTTATTAGAAATAACTTAATATAAGGTAAAAAAGGTTGGCATAATAATTTGTTCATTCGAAATGCTAAAATAATATAGAGCAGGGCGTTATACAAGAGGTCAGTCTACAAATTACAAAATTTCCAAAGCGCCAGCAACCAAGGAGTGAGGTACCTACATATATTACAATCGTTTCCTGGCGGCGATAAAGGACTGCAATGTAATCTAGTTGTGAATTAGCTGGACCTTCTAATACAGTGTTTCTCAATCTTTTGTTGAGGAGGGTCCCAAAGCATATAGTGTTTTTTTACATTATTAATAAGATAAAATAAAAAAAAGTATAAAAAATATTGTGAAATTAACAATGTTTACCCGCTATTTTTATAAAAACTATGCAATTTACGGATATGCATCGAAATGATAATAAGAATAATGAATTACCGGGATAAATAGAGTTTTATATCTCTCTCCGACCAATGTGCTATATAAAGGCAAGTGTCTATATCAAATTCGATGCAATTACATTTACCTTATACTATTGCTGCTTAAAAGAAGGATAAATCAACATACATGGATTTGTATTATTAGTAATATTACAATTCTTTTACCTACGTTATTTAACGATATTATGTAAATTTGGGAATCAATTTAATAGTAATAAAAATAGAATTTCATTTCATAAACAACAATTCAAAACCTATATACCTATTCAAAATCTCTGCTATGGCAGTTATTAGCTCAATTACGTCTACGTTTTGATGTATTTATTGTAAAATGTTAAAAAATGGCGTATTCTTATTCTAAATATATGAATTTTAATATTTTATGAGACTTTGTGTATTTAGTGACAATTTATATGTTTTTTTTCTGCTTATAACACTTGTTTACGCATAAAGATTGAGGACCACTGTCGTATCATTCGAATTTTGCCATAAGTCGTAAGCCGAGTAGAAAATTATGGTATCCTGTATCTTGAAATAATGAAATTAAAGCATTGTGTAAATAATTTTGCGTTATGTTCTTTTTAAAATCTCGACCATGATGTACGGACATTATTAGAGATTAATGTCAATATTGCACATGGACTAACTACTAAAAAGGATAACAGTTTTACTTTCTAGGTACTTATTATAATAACTATAATAAAATGGAAGGGGGTTACTGAAATTCATAGACAATGTTAAACGCGCCTCGTCTTTCCTTGTTCCTATAACATCGATCTCTCCAACTAGGAGAATATTGCTGGAGATAGAGGTCAATGGACGATAAGCACTCAGGACAGTGTTTTTTGGAGGTACTGGCTCAAAAACGTACACACAAACATAACTAAATATTTCAGGATCACTTTAAACCTGCATCATCTAATTTGCCGAGGCTTTGATCTGTGGTCGGATCTTGTGTCGGACTCCTTAACCAAGAGCGCAAGTGTCTGAGTAAAGCCAAAGTCTCCTAAAATGTTGATCGGTCTGTCTGTTTGATCGCGCATCATCCGACAATGATAAATATAACGAAAATAATAATGATAAAATATCGATAAAATAACGAGTACCTTAGTTTTATTCAAAGGTTTAATTATTTGCCTTTTATTTTTAAATTGTAGTTGGTGTACCCTTTTTATTATTGAAAATTCTTTCACTACTAAAAATGTGTAGTACCTATTAAATAAATAAATATGTTGGGACACAGCACCATCAAGTTCCATGGTAAGCTACGAGACTTGTGTCATGGATACCAGTTAGTTGATACATTACACATATATAACTTTAAATACATACATATTATAAATATAAACACCCATAACAGGATAAATGAATCACGAATCCGCGACCGCTTGTAAAGCAACTAGGGTCACTACGAACTGGGCCAAACGTGTCATCAAATCTATTCATAAGTAATTAATAAATTAATAGACTAAAGTATCTTTTAGTCCGAGTAGCTAGTACTCAGTAGTAGGTAGATTCTTGCCACGTGCGTAAGACCGTGAGAAAAATGTATGTAATTGACAAATTATTAATTTCAATAAAACCTTGTAATACAGTTTTATTTAGTTTATATATTTATTTTGTAACAAAACATGAAACACCCATTAATTGTATAAGTATGTATGTCTGACTTGAAAGCGACGGACACTTGTACTTATAATAATTAAGGATAATCAGGAGAAAATATTATGGTTATCTCAGTTTGAGTAGAAGGTGTTACGCATTACGTTTATATAACCCTCTAACATACGAGTATCTGGTCTGCACTCATTAGTAGTACTTGTACTATACATAGGTATTATATATAGGTTAGTTATCTAATCATTTATGAGATTTAAGGTAATATCCTATTGAATTTTCAATTGTATATATACGAGTATATGTTTTTTTTTTAAACAGCAGCCCATTTTTTTTAAATAATGGTACAAGCCTTTGGT